GATCAAAAATCGATCCCGGGATTGAAAAATCGTCGGGATTTTACAAACCCTAAGCAGAACTCATCGAGCTTTTAATACTCACTACCCACATTTTTGGTCAAAGTTACTCGTACACTGCTCCCGACAAAATTACATCTGCGGATATTCGTTTGCTACTTGTGTTCAGCACGAGTAGAGCACTGTTTATGCTGACATTTTATTCAAGTGCTCATGAGGTGCTCATCGCTGGTTGTGACTCGAGGTTCCCCTGTATTCGTAGTGATTGTCAACTAGAGAAATTCATCAAAATTACTGAACTTTAAGTTCCTTATGAACAGATTATGAGGTGTAAAACTGATTGAGTAATTGATCGCGATCAGTTCACTGGATCCGTAATTTGACTCACTTTGAAGTCTTCATCTATGAAGACATAATCAATTGACTCAGTGACACCTCCACTAATCGCTGACCACTCCTGAATGACGAACTTGGGTAGGCCTCCGTCAATTACGGCAGTGAACTTGATCCATGTGCCTGTCTTTAAATCTTCCCAATTCCTTGTCGAAAAATCATTGAATCGAAAGTTCAGCACAGGATATTCACGTACGAACACTTGTTCCCAGCCTATCATCACACCTTCCAAATCCTTTAGTGTTTTCTGAAACTGAGCCCAATGAAGAACCATCTGACCTCAGCCACAAAATAATTGCATGTTCATTTAAGCAAACAGTCAATTGTGCAAAAAGAAAAATTTCGATATTATGTCGCTGATAACAGCCAATCCAAGACAACTAACATGTTGAATGTTATGACAGGATTCCAATAGTTTCTGTGTATAACCAATGGCGTTCTCAATTGTTAAGCGACAGAACCGACTCGGTCCTATGTCACTAACAGCGACATCAAAAACAGCGTTCCTTGAGGCATGCAATAGTGCTGGTGCTAAAATCGCATGTCGATCATAAACCATACCCAAATGTTCGTCTTGAGCATGAAAATACCCGAGCGGCAGTGATTCGTCACCGGCTACACGCATCTCCAAATGAACAATTCGGTAAGTTTTTTAACCACATAACAATTGATCTTTACTCAAATTTTGATTCATCATTGACATTTCACTTCCCAATTTACTCCTATATATTATATTACTAACACTTCATGAAATGCTCAAACTGATGATTCAACCGTTGCTTGTAGTGCTATCGTCGACTGAATTCACCATCGAGTGTGGGAGTTTATTTTGAAGATGTTCGCATTATGTTCGCGAAGAAAAACAAGAACCAACCTCAATTAAGTACTTCGAATTAACAAGTTTGTACTGATATGATAGAGCAAACTGCACCCTTTGCGGCCAAGCAATCAAGTATGCGTTCAATGGTGATGAGTAGACGGCATCAAACTTGATCACATCACCAATAGTTGAAGCACTATTCGGTGGATTGTAAACAACATAGCATGCAATATGCGGATATTGGAAGCAGATTACATCGTGAACTCCATTGCGTAAGCCGAACGATTCAAATATCTCATTCTGTAGCGCATCACTGAGTTCAGCACGCTCTCATTCAACAACACACAAAGCAAATTCTGAATTCGGAATTCAAATCTATCGCATTAGTCGATGACGGAAGCGGAAATGAAAATCTGAGTGAATCGCCAAATTCGGAAATGGAAACGTGAGGGGAATAAACCAACTTCAACAGGCGCATTGACCACATCGACTGTGCGAGAAGCATTTCCGTTACCGTCATCTGTGCTAGCAATATCCTCGTTGTCATCATAATCAGCCAAGTAATTTTTGCTTATTCGATTCCATGGCTGGAAAATTCATTCATTTGTTTTATTGTACAAATTCGTTTCATTTGTAAACTGGAACAAAATTTGTTATAAATGCGATATCATCAGTGCTCTATACTGTGTCTGAATGAAGTGGTTCCACTTCGATTCTAGTCAAATTGGGTGCCTCGTCTAGACAAGGCGGCTTCATGGACACAATATGTCTTAACTTTAAGGAAGCGTTTCATTCAGTATCAATACAGAAAATGTCCTTGAAATAACAAGGACAAAGCATCCGAGTCATTCAGAATAATTGGATGCGAGACATTCTTACGGACGGTTCCCAATCAGTCCGAATTGGTGACTCCTTCTGTTCGTCAGAAAACATTAGCGGTGATGTTCCTCAAGGTCCCGTTCCGGAACCTCTATTTTTCTTATTTTTGTCAACGATCTTCCCAGATAAACATATTATTCAGTAGCTACGACTGTCAAACGTTTCTGAACCGATACAACGAGACGTCGTTGTTGAGACAACAACCCAGCTTCGCGAACAGTAAAAGCTCTATGCATTAATTGAACATAAAGGTAAAAAAGGGAAATAAAGAGCATATGGATGAGGATATTTTGTGGATTTGTCGTCGCTTACTAGCTTCGAATGCAAATATCATTCGAAATCAATAGGC